TTTTTTTATACAATCTAAGAAAATTTTTTATTCCTCACGAATATCAAACAAACAAATTTTGTATTTTTTCAATTTATTCAAGTTTCACTAAAATAGGTAAATAGTCTGTAAAATATCTGTATCGGGACATCGAAAAAGGAGTTAAAACTATTTTAAAAAGACTCTCATTTTAATTTGAGTTACTATAAATATTAAATTTGATTACAAAAAATCGTAAAAGTGCTAAAAAAGCAATTCTTTTAAGGCATTAAACTATCGTTTTTTCTTTTGATATTTTTAAATGTGATGTTTTTGTTTAGCGATAAGCTTTAAAATTAAATATATATTTATCGTTCTATTGTGCAATACATCAATATAATGCAGAGAAAAGGAAACATTTCTGATTGGTACTTAATATAATGCGTAAAGAAAGAATTTAATATTTATGCTTACAGCATTTATTTAATAAATAATCAAACTATTTTAATATGTGGTGCATCAGCATTTCACCACGTTTCTTTATTTGGGACAGATTAGGCCAAACGAGTTCATTATTTTTGTAAGAATTTCTACGGTTTCTACACACAGTGAAACTGTGTGAAACAATACTAGACAAAAATATCAATTTTCATGGGAATCTGAAAAAAACATAGAGTTAGGTTGGTTTAAGAATCTATAATAATCAATCAACCAATTGAGCTTATTTTACGATCTTCGCAGAAGGCATATTTAGTTCCTGTGATAAAGTTTTAACATCGACTTGGTAGTTCGATTCTAACAACAAAAACAAAACGATAAAATGGCATAAATCCTTCTCAGTGGAAAACGCAGAAAGGCAGCCATTGAAGAAATATTTCAGAAAGCTCTGCTTTTTTGATTTGATGAGATTAAATATACAATCCATATATAGTATCATTTTTAATTGTAGAAAACTTTCTGCATACAGAACACTTTCTTGCAAACCAGAAATTTCACAATAGACTAAAAATCGTAATTTAGACTAACGGGGTTCCCTTATTACGTTATATTATCGATAATCGAATGAAAAGATATAAGAATGGAGGTAATAACAAAAAGGTTAGTCCAACTTTGACTTAGGCCATGGATCCAACCGATTATTAATCGGGCCTCTAACAATGTGTCCTCGTTCCAATACGCGCTTAAGCAAATTCTTTTAACACAATTTCTAATGTGTTCTAATTGATTATATCGCTGAAAATAATGTGAAACTTTTCTCAAATAAATTAACAATCTGTAAAAAATCATAAAAATCATTTGCTTTAAAGGAACCTTTATAGATTGATGATAGCTGAGAAGTGTTCCCTTTATAGCAGCTTTCATTAACCTCTACGAGACAGTTCACCGTGTTTGAAAATAAAAAAAAAATTCCAAAAAATTCCATAAACATTTAAAACATCAAAAGGCGTAACATATAGTACATAAGATTTGGTTCTAGTTATTATTAATTTGAAATTTTAAATTCATCATGTAAAAAATGTAAAATTATTATATAAATAAATTAAAAAACATTGATCGTTGTTTCATTTATATTGTAACGAGTCCTCTTGGGCAGGGTTAGCTTAACCACTCCAAGACTCTTTCCAAGAATATTTATGAATAACAATTGTTTGGACCTTCAGCTATGTTCTTATTTACTCTTTATTTATTTACACGGAGATTTTAGTGTACAAGCGAATGTTGAGAGGCGTAGGGGGAAAAAACTAGCGTGCTTCTCAGTCGTTCCCGATTTATTATCGTACTTTCTCTTTCCCATTTCCGAACCGCGAGTTTCTGTAACAGAGGAGAATACGCCGCGAGTGTCAAAATAGTCTAACTAGGCCTTCAGAACCACTCGTCTGTCCTACATTGTCTCATGTCGCAAACCGCGTATCCCTTAGTCCAATCAGTCCTTCAGGGATGGCGATTAAGCTAACCGTCTCATCCCCTATCCGAAAAAGTCAACAATACTATTCGTTATTCAGGGATGGCGATTAAGCTAACCGTCACATCCCCTATCCGTAAAAGTCAACAGTACTATTCGTTATTGAAGGATGGCGATTAAGCTAACCGTCACATCCCCTATCCGTAAAATTAAAAAAAACCCTGGTTCCAGTCAACTCTTTAATTAATGAAGTCTTACCTTTGGCTGCTATGACACGACTGCAAGGCTGAGCGTAATGCGATGCGCGCTTTTATAGTCGCGATCACCATCGCTGTCCCGCTACTTGTTTACTTATGTATTGAGATAATATGCTTATACGTGTGCTTAGGTTAGGCTGGCTTCAATGTGTTTGGCAGACTTTCTGCCGCAAACTCAACTCCGACCTGTATGAAATTACTTATACATATCTTAGCACTAATACTATCTTATGTGCCACTTATGTCTATCCTATTGCTATGCTATTTGCCTGAGGTTTACCGCTATTTTTCCTTTTTTTCTTTTCTTATTGCTATGTTTGCTCGTATGCATAATGCTCCTTTCCATCTGCTTTTGTAAGACACTGACCCAGGTACCAAATCGGATGATTTGGTGGCCGTTAGGTCTGCGCTTGCAATATGCTCACTTCGGTAGAGGGTTCTTTTTTTTTCTTATATCTCTATCCTATGTATACATTACACTTTTTGCATGCAGTTACCTGTTAATACATTTTCATATATAACTTTTGCGTTTGTATATTTTTTTGAGTGCGTTTTCATGGCTTATGTGAATACTTGGTATACATTTTGTGTGAGTAGCTTATATGTTCATATTTTTGAGTACATTTTTGGAATACATTTTGTGTGTGTAGCTTGTATGTTCATATTTTTGAGTACATTCTTGGAATACATTGTGTGTGTGTAGCTTATATGTTCATTTGAGCGGGAGGAGGCTGATCATGATCAGTAGACAGACGTGTAAACGGACAAATCGGACTGACTAGTTGATGTCTGCGGGTAAACGTTTAGGCGGACGGACTGGTTATTAGTAAGGGAGCAAAACGCTTCCTTACAATATTTAACTTGATAATTATTTATTTTTACTTTTTAGCGAATTAGGAAAATACAAATAAGAAAGTGTAACAAATATTTTTCCCCATTTAAAAATAAGAAACAATGTACTTTAGGTTAATTTTTTGAAGCATGCAACTCAAGCTATATGTTTATCTACACACAACGCATGACTCTTTGCCCTTTAATTAGAGTTCGCCAATTACCTTATTACACTTTTTTCTCGTTAACGGTCTATATTAAAACACAAGCGCATTCCTTATGAAATGTATTAATTTGGAGAACTATTATTAGGACCTCGAAAAAAGATTATAAGTTCATTTGATATAAAAGCGTCAACCAGTGTGAAAGAAGGAACGTGTCGGAAGGATTACATCCGTTGAATAGTGTTTCATTGTTCGCAATTGAAGGAATATGCTTAGATTGCTGGTATGTAGCTGACCTGACGCTGTTTTATATTTTGCAGACATCAAACTTGGACCGCCGTTTAATCTTCTTTTTTAATATTAGAAAATATACAGGATTTCCGGCTAGAAGCGTCTCACAAAGTTTTAAATTTCTTAACACATTTAAATTAATTATTTACTGCCTCTCTTATATGTGGATATCAAAATCAAGTAGAAGTTCAAGGTTACAACTTGTGAAGATAATTCTCTTACTAGTTTGAAATATTTTTGCCAGGTTTAGAAGAATTATGTACAGGAGAGAAGTAGCAGTAGATGAAACAGAGAAAGAAATAGAAGTAGAAAATGTTGAGGAAAATAGGAGGATAATGGACACGACGGGGAAAACAGAACTCGACGATGGTACAATACATACAACGCCGTCTAGCCCCGTATTTATCTTAGAAAATACCGTGGCGGCACTGATACGGCAGATTGAGCAGCTTAAAGATGAAAATGCTGCATTGAAACCAAATCAAGGCCAGGAAGTCGAAGCAACAGCTGACAGCGGAGTGCCAGAAACTGAGGCACTTAAAGAAGTCGTGGCGAAATTGACTCCTCATGATGAAATAGTGCAGTCACACTTTGATGAAGTGTATACTAATCGAATGACCGTCTACAACCGAGCTGAAGATAGGCTTCTCGGATACGGATCAGCGCCAAGCGCTATATAGACGTTGGAGTACAGAACAGTCCTTGTCTGCGCCGTACGAAGCCTGATACTGGCTTTTAACATGCTGCTTAGCGCCCACCGGATCACTCGTTACAAAGGTGATGCGGATCAACGCAGACATGAGAGCTGTTGCCTGCGTCAGAATGACCGCCAAGAAAGGCACAACAAAGGGGTTTACAAATGGTGTCTACGAACGGAAACGAACAGGCGATAGTACTAGTCGTATATTCCTAACATTGCTAATATACGACTACATCCACCTATTAGACGGAATAAAAGTAAAACAAAGGAGAACCCTCAATTTGACTTCTCCATACAAACCAAACCATCGCAAAGAAACGCGCCCAGCTCTGGATTCTGGGCGCGGAGGGGCTGCATACCAACATCACCTTCACCACGGTTTTTGACCGAAATAGTGCATTTTTCAACAACATAACCCCAGCCGCGCTGCAAGATGCAATTAACACAAATGTGTGAGGAATATGATTTTTGCGAAGAGGTGAGCGCCAAAAACTACCAAAGGACCCGAAAAGTAACTCGAGCTTCACCTCTAAATACCTGGAGCCGGACTTCCCGAAACAGCAGGTCAACGAGGTGTTCCACCAAGCGGACGACGTATTCTACGTAGCAATGAACCAACACATGGTGGAACGGGACATAGGCAAGCGCGTGTAAGCGACAGGGGTGTCACAGCCTGCCTTCTTCAAAGAAAGAGGATCCTGCAGCAGCGGAAGTAGCCACCGCATCAATTTGCTTGGCTCCATATTATATATACTTTTAACAGGCAAAACTTGGAGAGAAACCTCGGATATCAACTTATCGTCATTCTAAGGTAAATATATTATTCTATATTTCAATACCTAATCTTTACTAATTAACTTTCTTCCGTAAATTCCATAAATTACTTATTTACTTACTTCTATTTTAGTTTACAAAAGATCCACCCACCATACGAACAAGGAGAAATCGTGCATTAAATACAGTAAAGTGAAGGTAAATATATTATTATATGTTTATGTTTATATTTACCTCTTTACTTTCTCATATTTTAATTTAGATTAAAGAGGACGAAAACACCGGCGACCACCGTCTTATATATGTGCAAATTCGCTGTATGCCAAAGGTAAGTTTGTGTTTATTTTTACTTATTATTATTTATAAATTATTCATTTGCTGTTGTTTCATTTTAGATTAAAAAGAAAGGCATTCGCCTGCACTATCGTTCAGCGGGATGCGATACTCCATAGGCCAATGATAAGTTTGTGGTCATCTTTATATATAAAATTTAGTAATTACATTAATTTACCTTTGCAAATATCAACACACCGGCACAGCAGCGATCCTTATGTATTTATATTAGTTTGGGGAAAAAGAAATCCATTATTTTTTCGGCAGATGGCTGCACTGATAGATTTCTCGTAAAGTATCGATCAAACAATTTCCGATACTGTACATTTACATACTGTATATTTCGCAGTAAAAAATTCTTTTGCTGTTTTTTGTTTGGTGCATTCAGTTGTGAGTTACAGCGTGTTAAAAATG